GTGACAATGTCATGAACTATGCAAAATTTACGGCCGTCTTGGCGAGCAGCATCGCACTCAAGGATTACCTTGAAGACAAAAAATCCCTCCAACCTCGGTTTCGAAAAAAAATATTGTTATCATACCAATGGCACGTTCTTTTTACTAAAAGCCCTCTCAACTGTTACGTTACTACATTTTGCATACATGATATCTCATGATATCTGGGATGTCATATATTATTTGGAGGTATCCTAACGAGGACACCGAGTACGAGGACTCTGATTTTGAGACTCTTGATACTGAACACTTTCCATCACCGGACAAAGGCCGTCCGCCTCCTCCGTACGAAACCCCACCGCCACCATACGATAATTGAAAAAACATTTTTACACACATACAATGGCTACCATTGCGATGATGATTGGGGGTGCGATTCTTAACACCGCTGCTTTTTCCGGCGGCAACTATCTCTCCAAATGTCTTTCTGGAGACAACGGGAAGGCCGTGTTGGCAGAGAAAATGTGACATGATAAAGCCCTTGAAGCTTATCAAGCCGCTATGGCCAAATACACGCGCGACCACACCAAGCTTCTTGATTGGATTGAAATCAACAGAGAAATCAAAGAGCAGGCGAAGCAGAACTTCACAAACACCGATTACGCGTTCAAACTCTATAACCAGGCCCACCCAGACAAGCAAATCACCCTGCTTAAAGAGCCTCGCTTCGCTGACTTATCAGCCCAGTGAGCAGCAGAAACAAAGCGAGCTACTTTTTGTGGGCGGCAGCGCACTCGCTCTCGGCTACGCGGCTTTCCGTTTTCTTTGAAGGTGATGGTGTAATAAATAAATGGATGCTAAGCTCGCTTAAGTCTACTACAGCCCCCAGGGCTACTGGAAAGGCATCGCTGCCATCAAAAAATTATCGGACAGCGCAAAAGTCGCTGAAGAAACCGCCAAGGAGTGGCTCATCAAACAAGCCCTTTGGCAGATCTATCTCTTCGCACCGCGATACATTCCACAGCCCAAATTCGACGTATCATCGTCTAACGCGGTCCACCAAGCAGACCTTCTTTTTCTGCCTCATGACAAGCTCCCTCGTGGCCGCAAAGTTTATAAATACACGCTTACTGTTGTCGACGTCGGCAGCTGTTACAAAGAGGCAGAGCCTCTTATCTCCAAAGACTCTGAGGAGGTTGCAATAGTTTTTCAGTCGATTTACAAGCGCAGCCGTTTGACGTGGCCTCAGCTGCTGCAGGCCGACCCTCGGCGCGAGTTCGTGGGAAGTGTGACCAAAGAAAAGGAAAACCACAAAACAGCTATTTGTCACGGGCGTCCTTAAATTCAACCGCACGCTCGCCGATGTATGCTGTAGAAATGCTGCTGCCTTCTGGTCAGCAGTCGACTGCCTGGGTCAAAAGGCTCCCCGACATTGTTACCGCTCTTAACGGCGAAGTCACTCGCTTGACTGGCAAAAAGCCTGCTGTGGCAATCAAAGGCAAGGTTGTTTCAGCAAAACCTTCCACTCCAGAATCAAGACCTGTTGGTGTGGACGAAAAAAAACTTCCTTCCAACGTGAATATTTGCTATCTCTACCAGTCTGGTAAACTCGAAGGCGGTACTAAAAGAGCTACAGATCCAATCTGGTCTTTGAAAGTCTTCATGCTTGAAAGGTGTGTGGCCCGGTCAGACGAGCCTGTTTTATATTATTTGCATGAGGGTCCTAAACAGGGTTTTGTGTGCGAAGAACTCTTGGTTGTCCCACCAAACACTCAGCTTCCATCTGCTTATGCCATGTGAAATTGAATCAGCTCCGTGTTGATTCCATCTGGCAGCACCCAGCGTTTGTCATAATACGTGCTCAGCCCCAGCTTCTGCTGCTCATAAGTGACCATCCGCATCGCTCCACCAGAGTGAACCACACGGAATCCTCTATTTTCAGCTCTATCGATGGTGCCGTCGAGGGCCGCATTGAAACTCTGCCAGGTCTTGAGATTCTGCCTCTTTGACATGCCCTTTGTGCTGAAATTCTTTTTTTTCACTGTCTTTTTTGTCAACAAAATAGCACTTCGCACATAGCGCGATCATCAGACTGCCTTCGCATTCGCGTTTGAACAGGCCTGGTTTGCTTCCGCTCCACTTGTCCTAAGCCAGCCACTCTTTCTTTTTTGCCTCGAATTCCGCCCGCTGATCTGGCCAAACGATGTCCTCAAGCCGATCAGCACAGATGGCAATGTACTTGCTGTCTATGTCCATCTGAATGAGTTCAAAGTCACGGCGGTCGAGATACCGATCCAAGAAGTTGTAATAGAATTCGAGCATCCTCAGCTTGGCCAGCTGATACACCGCGATGCCGATCTGGAACGGGCGAGTGATCATGATGCGTGCCTTCCTGCTTTGCAGCTCATAGGCTTCCCCCATCTCCTCCAGATCGCTAAAAAGCGCACTTCGCAGGGCCCTGTCCACCACCTTCTCATCCTTCGTGTACACCACGCGCGTTGTACGCGTGTCGTGTCATACGCGCTGCTGCCGAGTAGCTTGTACACCTCGGCCAGCAGGGCCTTGCTCTTGTCTGCATCTCTGGTCCGGCGGGCTTCGGTCACCTGCACCACAAACCAGGTGAAGATCTTCCTCGCCTGATAGCCGATCGTGCGGTGCACGGCTGTAATGACTGCACCATACGTGACATACCAGTGCAAGAGTGGCGCATACAGCAGCAGCTTTTGCGCTGACAATGCTCCCACCAGCTTTTTGCCATCGCCTCTTGTTCTTCTGGTGCGTGCTGTGTAATCTTTCATGTGTTGGGGCACTGCTTCGTCGCGGATCTGCTTAGTGAAGAAGAAGGGCGGCATTTCTTCAAACTTCACCCACAGCGTTTTTGGGGTTTCAATGTCTACTTCCGCGAATCCAAACCAACTTCCGGTTTTCAGGCGTTCTGTAAAGCTTGGCGCGGCTTTGGCCGGTTCGTCGTAATGCACGACCTTTTCTTTTCCACAGGGCATGTCTTTCAACATTCTCGAGAGATGCATTGGCGTCGTAACCTATGATGCGCTTGCACAGTCGCAGACGCGCGTACTGGTGCGATCTAATGCGCGTCACACCCGCTTCGTGGTATCGCGTGAACACCAGGCTTTTTTGAACATTCCGTATACTTCTTTGTCGGGGCTGTACAGTTTGGCGCCGCGCTCAATTGTGCCTCTCAGCAGGTAATGCAGGCTCACGCCGGGTAGGCTGACGGCATCTTTTAAGATGTCGATGCCTTTGGCTGTGCAAAAGGCGCACATCTTTTCCAGGACTTCTAACCCCGGCCCCACGTCGCGGTCGTTGTAATAACGCAGCCAGTCGGCGAACGTGCGCATCCCTTTTTCTTTGAAGACCTTTTTGCACTCTCTCCATTCTGAGAGCTTGAGAACGAATTCGCCTTTCAAACGCGAATACCAGGCTGGGAAATCTAGCTTGTCAGGACTATCAAACCACTCATAAGGCATGTGGCATTTCAAATCAGCACTTCAGGAGGCTTTGACCCACTTGTCATAGGTCGTAGGCGGCCCTAGATAGTTGATGAGGTCTACAAAGCAGAAGCCGCTAGTCTTCATGAACATCGTCGTGTTCGCGTTTTTCCCCACTTGCACGTTGGCCGTTATATTAGCCAGCAGCTCGACAAAATGGTCTTTTATCAGGTTCAGATCATAACGTCCGCTGTTGAACCAGAGAACGGGGACCTGGTCGCACCATTGTGCGATCGCCCTGCGCCCTTTTCGTGTTAACAAGTGGCTATCTTCCGACATGAACTGGGCTTTGACTTGCGCTCGGATTTTTGCACTGCACCTCTCTAGCTCTGCCATGAATTTTTTAATGAGCTCTTTTTTGTTTGCATCGCAGGTGTGCGTGGGCTCTCGTTCCAGCGTGTCGCCAATGCTCACGGTGATGGGGACGTGGACATCTTTGTACGCGAGCTCTTTCGTCACTTGGTTTCTCTGGCTTTTATCGAGCCACGATTCAAAATCATAAAAAATTGCGTGTGGATACGTTTTCGTTTCTTGCTGTGGCAGGGTCTCGTGGGTTTTTCTTACCTCACACTCCCATTTCTCGATGACGCTGTAGCCAGCTTCTCTCAGGGCTTGCATCCTTGTAGCCGTCGCGAGAAAACGGTTTTCTCGAGAGTGGCCGTGGTTGATAAATTCTTCTCGGCTGTTTAGAAAACAGCGGCGGCAGCCGTAATATTGGAACACCGGGTTTGTCTTGGAGTCATGTCCATCAACCGCAGCTCCCTCAATCCACTGCTCGCCTCCGTGACCACATAACGCGTGGTGAATATGACGGACCAGCTGCTTGCTTGCTCGCTCTAGCCAGCGGATCGATGACGCCGAAGCTCGGAGTTTGCCGTAAAAAACTCTCTCATAAGTGGTCTGCAGGGCTTCGACTCTCTCGTTGGGGCAAATGATAACCGTTTTCCCTTGCGCGCAGTTTTTGCTGTGTCTTTGAAGATGGCAGGTTTTTGTAAAGTGCGCTTGGATATCTGCGCATGCATACAGGCTGGCTACCTTCTTGATGTCTTTTATCAAAAACTCGTGTCCGTCATAAATTCCAATCGTCATTATGTTCTGCAGCTGGTCTGAAGGATTCTTTCTTAAATGCCATACGGTTTCGCCGTTTTCTTAGCGCTCGGGCTCATAGACTCTGATCCCAAGCCACTCTGCGACAGGTTTCTCTTGATTGAGGAACATCACGACTTTATCCAACGCATCTAGCGACGTTTTTAAGATGTACCTTTGTTTCAGAAAACTTTGGGCTAGCTCTCTCATTGCCCGTGTGCTCCGATCAGGGCCCCCCTCCGATGTACGGCTATGCAGCGCCAGAGACACAAGTTGTCATCAAAGGTGTCCAGCGCTACCATTTCGCGGCCGTGGGTGAGGTTGCGCAACCAGTCTGGCAAGGGGCCTGTTCCTAACATTGGCTGCCTGTCAAGCACGACCTTCACTTGGCTGTTAGAAAACTTTACAAACGCCCATTTGGTTTTCGGGCGCTCCATGCTGTCAGTATTTAACCGTTCTGTTTCCTGCGCATTCAGCCAGGTTTCTGCATTTGCAAAGCTGTTCATCCAAGGTGAGCCCCTGTGCCGTTTATAATACACCATTTGCAAGCCCGTTTCGACGTTTACTATTACATAAGCGTAGATGTAATGAATATAGAACGCCGAGTGGACGCGTTACCTGAACTTTTCCGTGATAGAAGGAGTGTTATTAGTGCCCAGCCTCCTGGAAAAGGTCCATCTGATAGACCTCCTGCCCCTTTTTTCCGCCCGCTCCTCCACCCCTTCGCACGCGACATACATCTCCACAATCCCATTTTGATAATCAATAATCGGGGGCTTTTTACCACGCTTTGGAGGGGTGCTCTTGATAAAGCGTTTCTTGTGGCGTGCTTGATACAATTTATAACCAGAGTAGGCAAGTTTTCAAATGGGTGTTCGACATCAGACTGTGGCATGCGCCGTCAGTAGTAATAGATGGGTTGGACAAATACTGGCAAATTTTTTGCCGCCGAGGCGAGCCAAGCCGGCCAGCGAGGCGAGGCGAGGCGGCAAAAAGTTTGCCAGCATTTGTCGAACCCATCTATTACTACTGGATGGGGTTTGATTCCGGCCAGGTGCCACATGTCAGTTGAGTTTGTTGTTGGTTCTCGCCTTGCTCTGAGGGTTTTTATCCGGCATTTCTGGCTTTCCTTCTTCCACAAAAACCAACATTATAAATTCCAATTCTACCAGGATAGAGAACGTGCGTGGAAACCAGCTAAGGCTGAGGTGGCATCCTCTCTTAATATTGTCATTCACTTTTAACTTATGTATTTATTTATATTGCGAGACAACGCAAAATGTTGTATGAAATTCAGCTGGTTCGAATTCGTCGGGAAGGAAGAAGGGACGTAATGACCCCAGTTTTAATTTCCGCATCGTGAGCACTGCTCTTGCCAACTCTCCCCGCTATAAAAAAGAAATAAACCAATATCCTGTTCGTGTGCACCAGCTTGCTCACTGTCCCTGCAACATGGGTTCTATGCGTACATGCCAAGGGGCTGATCTCCGCTTCACGATGCCGCAACATGTGATTAGTGTGTGCCAGCCGACCTTTACACTTCTCGCGCTTGCCGTTCTTGGGTTCTGATGAATGATAGAATACAAGTCACTGTATCAAACCTCTTGCAATATTTGCATAACAACACTAGTATAAATTTACTCAGTTTTTATAGTGCGACGCAACTTTAATGAGAATGAAGTAAGAAACTACAATAGCCCAGTCGGTTACACTTACCGTACTCTATAACTTAACTTAACACATTGCCAAGTTGGAAGTTATGCGACTTTTCAGTACACACTCTGCTCATAAGGAAAATGGCTGAACGAATAAATATGACATGCGCGTGCGTGATGCACTTTCCAGTGATCTCCAAGCTTGTTTCTTGATTCTTCGCTCAACTCTGCGCAAGCAAATGACTCTCGAGAGTTCTGTTACAGGATGGATTTTGATTGGTTTAAAAAAAAACAATAAAAGCGACCAGAATAAAACAACAGGAACCTGATTGAGGCACATGTTTTTCAGCTAGAAATGTGCGTTTCAACCGGAAGCGGGATATTTTCAGATTTGTAATAAGTGCTTTCCAGGGTCGCTCGATTCTCGAGTGCTAGTAGGGAAACGAGTAATCTGGGTTCCAGGTTGAAATGACCCTTTGTTAAACAACGTCCCTTGTTTATGTTTCATTTCATTGCAGCCGAGATTATTTACAGATTACCAATGAGAAGAATCGGGTGTTTGGCAAGTACTGTGGTCGCATGACTGAAAAGAGAGTTCTTGTATATGGAAATTACGTCTTGATAAAATTCCACTCAGTCAGCAATATTCAAAACAGAGGATTTCTAATGGAGTTCTCAGCTGTTCTGCCACGCTGTAAGAAATGATAATTGATATAGAGTTTGATGCTTTTATGATTGAGATAATAACTTTAAAACGTGTTAAGGCACAGAAAAGAGATATTTCTTGAACAACTATAAAACCAGAAATGACAAGGGCGAGTAGGCGTGTATCTGTATGAGTGATTGTTGGGGACGATAGAAGTTGATATGGAGAATCAATTAGTACAATAAATAACGATCGCACGCTCTGCAATAAAATAACGATCTATAGACATAGGTACTGACTTTTGAAAACGATACAAATTTGAAATTTTGCAACACACTCTACCAAGCTTCGAATTCTCGAATTTTGCATCGAGATAGCCTCCATTAAGACAGCTGAAATTTTTGAGTGCCCAAAGGAGATTTTATCTCGAGCACGTAAGGAACAATTAACAAAAACTTGGTCTCCCTCTACAAACTCGAAAGGCCTTCCATTCCTTGCTAAGTGAAAGTACCAGGTTCAAGCTGCATGGGGTAGCCTGCGTAGGTGGCAAGATTCGTGAGCGGGTTATCCTAAGCCCACGAGTGAAATTTAACTTGACTCCTCGCCAATTCCCTCCTAGCTTGGCTTCGCCACTCGCGTTCTCTCTCTGTTTCGCCGCCAGAACAAAAGCTCTCGCACGCAAAATTCTCCAGCTACGTAGGCTAGCCATTGGGAGTTAGGCAGTTTTGGAGCAAGTCACGTGATATGCTCTAGTCCAATAATAGGAAGGTGTTTATGACCTAGCATCCATAAACCTTGTGTCGAGTGGTAGGGTCTCCACGAAACAAAGTTCACTTTTTCCTCGTGGCCGGTCATTAGCTATCTTTAAGACCGTACGAGTCCCGTACAGAAGCAGATTCGACACCAAATGGTCAACTTCAAAAGGCTGGTTAAAATGACCATAGAGAACTCGGAAATTCCTGTCCTATAGAATGCTTCTACTTCAGTCGTATTTTCATATTAATTGTGGCGATGTAAATAATATTTAATTTTTTACTCTTAGCTGTTCCAGAACCTATCGCCTTCTACCCCTTGAATGCTCGCTATAAAGCCACAGAAAAAGAGAACAGACAACTAAGGGGAACCCTGGGAGATGTTGCGATTACAAACGGACCCTACAACGAACCAGGCGGAGCGTACATGTTTTATGGCACTGCAAACAGCTACATTGAGTTTCCGAATAAAGGGGGCCTGGACACTCGGTTTTCAATCACACTGATGTGCTGGGTTCAACCCGTAAGCAGAGCTGGATCACTACTAAGCTACGGAGTTTCTGGTCTCACTGTCTGTATCAAGTTTAAGCACGGCAAATTCTTTAATCGAATCGTCAAACACAGTTCTTTTAAAACACTGCCTACTATAAGAACTGAGGTTCTTCCGGCAGGAAAGTGGGTTCATGTTGCAGCAAGTTACGATCACAACAGCGGAAATAACTCGCTGTATATCAATGGACATTTGAGAGCCTCACAAAACATTGGCACGGGTTATGAGATTGCAACCGCCGTCAAGAGAGTTCGAATGGGGGTTAAAGATAAATATTTCAAAGGGAAAATCGCGGAAATGAAGGTTTACGATATCGCACTGAACGAGGCACAGATACAAACGTCGATAATGCAAGGTAACTGAAAACAATGTGCACTTTTTTCCAAAATCGTTGTTTCGTTACCCTTACCGATAATTCCCTTGATTAAGAATACTCCCGTTATTGGACAACTTGGAAGGAGGTAACAGGCACCCGTCTCAGGATACCGTTTCGCAAAACAATGTCTAGCCAGAGGACAAAAGAAATAATTAATAGAACTGGAGAATATCGAGAGCAGACAAGCTTGTGAGAGAAGACGGATTTTTTCTATTTCTTTTTCTCGAATTGCATTATCTAATAATCTAATTTTAATAATTAGTAAAAAAAATTTAAGTGCTAACTGAATTGAAACATTATTTCACTAGTGCCACCCAAGATTGTTTCAGGTGCTGCGGTGAGAGTAGAGCCAGGTAGTCAAGTGCCATGTTCAGCCACAGGATCCCCTCCCATATACATAGCATTGCTACGGAACTTTACAGTGGTGATGAACACAACAAACATTACAAGCATTAAATTACACCAGGAAGGTAACTACACCTGTGTGGCCACCAACAAGTATGGAACTGATGTAAAGCACTTCGTAATAAAAGGAGGTGAGAAAATAAGATATTTTGAAACTAACCCTATGCGTTCTGAATTGTGACTAGTATTTGACACATACTTATTGTAAGTCAAAACGGATGAAGGGAGGGGGTACGTGTCCCTTCC